ACAGTGCAATAAGCTTCTTAGTGCAATAAGAAGCTACAGGGACGTTAATCTAACGTCGGTAATATTAACTTTATTTAATACAACATTTACGGTACAAGATTTAATCATACAGCCCATGTAGTATAATAATGAATTACAGCAAACATGTGCAATATATCCATTATTACAGCTCCGTGGGATGGCAGTAAGACGATATGGGTCCATTCTTATTGTGCATCCATGGGTAAAGATAAACGCAACTCACATTGGTTTCTCATACAGCATCTCTGTAAACTACGTGTATTCACTGAATTTCACTCTCTGCCTTTAACGGTTCGTTGTATCTAGTTAATTATACAAAACATTTCATTGTGATGGTAGCCGGGGCATGGCTGCAATGCTAAATACTTAGCTTACCTAGCTGCACACGAGCTAACGTTGTGTCTTGTAGGCTAACTTAACTGTTACAATCATTCCCCGAATTCACTTTAATGGCATTATGATTCAATAAATCCGGTTCACTTAAAGTGCTGATCTTGCGTTTGGGTCAACATCAGCTAACGTTTGGTTAATTAGACATTGCTAGTTTGGTTGGCTAAAGCTTCAACCTACTAAGCTAGTCAGCAATTTGTTAATGTGAGTCCACTGACAGCAGACAACTGCAACAACTTCAACAACCCAGCAACGAGGTTTCACTATACTTCATTACATTTAAACATGTATAACGCGGGATAATAAAGACTTCGGTTCAATAATAATGTTCTACAACTAAACTTTTTATTTTATCTTACTTTTATTTCTTTTGATCGTTGAAATGATTTTAGATGAACGTTATGCTCCATGTTTACACATTTGGGTGGTTGGAAATAACCCTGAGTCATGTTTTTGGTCCTTAAATGAAGTACATAGATTTCAGTCATTTATTTTGAGGACAACATTATTCAGTATCTTATTTGCATGTTGCAAATAATACATATTCTTAGGATATTCTTTACATGTTATGCTGTATAGAAGGGCCTCAACTTAAACTTAATTTTTATTTCAATGAATGTGCTTAAAAATGAGCTTTATGTTTAAATAGTTTGATTTGTCTCTTTAATCAGTTGTTTGATCTATCAATGGTTTAAGCTCTGACTAACTTAACTCTTCTTACGTTTCTCCTTCTTCATCCAGTCTATTATGTCCTATAACGGAGGGGCCGTCATGGCCATGTGAGGGAAGAACTGTGTGGCGATAGCAGCGGACCGGAGGTTTGGCATCCAGGCTCAGATGGTCACCACAGACTTCCAGAAGATCTTCCCCTCTTCCCCATGGGAGATAAGCTGTATATTGGGCTGGCAGGACTGGCCACTGATGTTCAGACAGTGTGAGTGTGTAGACCTCCACCTTGTTCTCTCAAAGTGGCTAAACAGTTGTGAACACCAGGGTACTATGATGACAGGATTGATTTACAACTCTATAAAGCTACAACTCTCAGATCTAGACTAAGTAAGACTTCTCATTTAGAGAAAGCCTGGAGTGTCAAGTACAATACTACACCTATAATGTTTATACCAACAACAAAAGTGTTGTAGTTGAATAGTATTACTATGCATTCTAATAAATAGGGGAGAAAACGTTATTAGAAATTCTGCTATCCATAGCTTTGAAATAAGTTAGATTTGTGATGACTGAATTCAATGTAAATATCTGAGGATTGATGAACGTCTTTGCCTTGTGTGTAGATCCCAGAGGCTTAAATTCAGACTGAACCTGTACGAGCTGAAGGAGGGTCGCCAGATCAAGCCCAAGACCTTCATGAGCATGGTGTCCAACCTGTTGTACGAGAAGAGGTGAGTGCACTAACTTAATATAGACCCATGTCCACATTTAAGCTGCTTACAGTAGGCACAAATACCTGCATAAATGGTAAATATGTCATGCTCTCATCAGGTTTGGGCCATACTACATCGAGCCTGTGATCGCTAACCTCCGAACCATTCATCTGCTCCTTGGATCTGATTGGCTGCCCCATGGTGACAGAAGACTTTGTTGTGAGCGGAAGTTGTGGTTCTCTCCTTGTTGCATTATTATTTGCACAGTGGCAGCTCTTTAACCTGCATTACAGCACCTTCATATTCACTGACCACACTCACTAGAGGAAGTAGGGCTGTGTGATATATTGCTATTGTAAAAAAGATGTTTACTGAAAAGATTAAATGATACTAAGAAGACTGAATAATACATGGTTTCTTATTTACATTTACAATAACCCTCAATGGCCATACATGGGAGCGTCACCAGACCAATTGTCATCTCTAGAATATTGTTGAATGAATTAAGCCTGAATGTAGATGAAAGTTGTATATTGATTAGGGCTACACAATTTACAACACACAAAAAGATGTTTACTGAAAAGATTAAATGATACTGAATAATACATGGTTTCTTATTTACAAGACTACAGCTCCATGACTTTACTCCAATGGGACGACAGACACTGACAGATTAGACAAGGCACAGCAAATGACACCAATCTTGTCAATTAATGCTAGTGCCTCACCTGGTTTTGTTAGCATGTGCTC